GGGGCTCGATCCCAGGACCCTGGGATCATGACCTGAGCCGAAGGCAGACGCTTAACTGACTGAGCCACCCAGGCGCCCCTGCCTTTGCTGTTTTAATGTAGCACTTACAACACGCCAGGCGCTACTCTAAACATGCTGTGAATTATTTAACCCTATGCAGTCGGGCCTCTCGTTGCCCCTTCCCACTGTTCAGTAACCTGTGGCCAAGGGTCCAACCACCAGGCAGGGGCCGAGCGAGACTGCAGCCCAGGTGGTGAGCCCCAGAGGCTGTGCCTGAAGCCACCACACGGCTGCCTCACTTTGCTCTGTTGGCCCAGGCTTGCTTTTTTGTGAGGCCCTGAAGGTTCAAAGTACCCATGCCCCCTTCCCTCTGCAGATGTACCCCAAGGTATGTATGTGCCTGGGAAGCAGTATGGTTCCAGCCCCCCCTGCTGGTGGGTGTGGGAAGGGCTCCCGCCATTGCCATCCCCGCCAAGCTCAGCTCAGTGCTCATAGTTAACCCCACTTTCTTCCAGATTCTTCTTCTGATTGACATCGAGCAGTCCTACATCAACACGAACCACGAGGACTTTATTGGATTTGCCAAGTATGTACTTTTCAGGACAGTGGCTGGTGGGTGGCACCAGTGCCTGCCCTCAGAGCCAGGCCCCGAGGGAGGTGGCCGAGTTGGCTTCCCTCAGCCGACTAGGGCAAGAGGGTCTTTCTGTCAGGGTACTGGGGTGAAGCCTGGAGCCGCCTGGGGGTATCTGGAAGCTTTCCTGGGCTAACAGCAGCCCCCATCCTCACTGTCCTCAACACGCCTCCTGTGGGGCCGACCTCTGGTCAGCCGCCTTGGGAAGGGTGAGGCTGGCAGCATGCTTTCCTTCCTGCGTGACTTCTCAGAGCCTTCTATAAACTGTGCAGCTTTCCCCGGACTCCCCCATCTGCACTTGGCCCTTTCACGGAGCGTCTCACAAGCTCTGGGCTCCGACTCTGGGGGCTGCTCTCTGGGAGGTGCTGTCCAGGCCCTCCGTGGCTTCCGTCTATATACCATAGATTCAAAACTGGAACTTTCCATGGCACCTGGATAAGGGGCCAGCGCAGGGATCTCTGATTTTGGCATGATGTAGATGTAAATGCTGGTGGCCTCAAGCATCGCTCACTGACTCCCTCAGCCAGCTTGGGCGTCATGTAGATTGTTCTGGTGGCTCCTGAAGGTCTTCTTGCCTGAGCCCAACAGAATCACGGAATCAGCAGTAGCCAGCTTCCTTGCATTTGCTTAGCATTTCTGGTGTGTGTTCTCTGTGCCAGGCTCTGTGACACAGCAGTGAGCAAGCACAGACCCAGGTCCCCACCCTCAAAGGAAGGTCCCGTGCCAGAGACAGACATGCACCAAACCAGTTAAGACACAGTGCCATCACTGCTGGGGTCAGGGCTGTGGGAGGCTTGTGTTGAGTCCGGAGGGCCACCTTCTGGCCTGGCCTCAGGGTTGCAGGGAGGCTTTCTTGTGGAGAAGTGCCTGTTAGAGCCCAGTGTTGGGCTAGCAGGCTGGACAAGAGGATCTTTCGCTCAGGGGTCTCTGTGCTGGACTAAGCACTTACTGAGTGGAACATGTACAATTGCACTCAACACAGTTGGTCAGCTGGTCTTTGCTGGGCAGTTGGTAGGTGAGTGGAAGGAATGAATGAATGAACGAATGAATGAGGGCATGATCAGAAGCTGCTCCCCATGCCCAGATGAGCCAAGGGCCCTGGTTGGGCCATCCCTGCTTTGGGAGGGCTGGGGGACCCTGACCACGGGCCACACCGCAGGTGCGCCCCCTGTGCCTCTTCCCCCAGCAGCCAGGTGTGTGGGGGCTGAAACGCTGGTCCCCCTCTTTGGTTTGCTGCTGTTTTCCTCACCTTGATGTCTCTGCTTCTCACACTTCATCCACAGTTCCTTCTCACAATCTCTCCTGTTTTTCCTTTGACCACTCCACTCTTTCCTCTGGATTCCTGGGCCTTCCCACTTCCCCCAGCTGTTACTATACTGAGCAGCTGGTGACCGGGTGGGTATTGCCTGCTGTGTGCCTTTTTCCTGGTGTGTGAACGGGGTCGCCCTGGCTGGGCGCGGGGGCCCAGGGTGCCAGGCTCCACCCAGCCCAGGCACAAGCCAGGGTCCCAGCCTTGGGGGGGGGATGTCCCCGCGGGCCCACTGGATAGCCTTGGAGCACTGTCTCGGAGCCAGGCCCGGTGCAGGGCCTTTGGGGCAGGACGGTGAACAAGCAACACTTAGCCTTGCCCTTTCAGAGCCCACAGGCTGGACACGTGTTATTGATCACTTTGTCACAAGGCAGACAAGAGTTGGAAAGGAGAGTAGGTGAGGGGCTGTAGGAAAGTGGAGCAAGGGATGTGGCCTGGAGAGACCGCCAGGTGACAGTCAGGGGACCCAAACAGTGTTGGAGACAAGGAAGGAAGGCCAAGAAGCAGGGAGGCATGGGGAGACCAAAGCAAGGTGGAGGTGAGAGCCCAGGCCCCGTTGCCAGGAGGGCCCTGTAGGCCGGGGGAGGACTTTGGACTCCTTCCCCCCACCATTCCCCACTCCCTCCCACCCCCCCATCCCCAATAGCAAGACATTCCTGATTGGGTAGAGGCAAGGGAAAGGGGCAGCTTCATCAGCTGCCAGGGGAAGGTGGGAGCCAGGAAGCCCCTCGGAAGCAGCACATCCGGGACCTCACTGGCATCCAGCCATCACTGTGTGTGGCTTAATCAGTCCTGTCTCCTTCAGACACTGTTGACCGAACTCCATCCTGTGCTTAGATGTTCTGGGCTGCTTTCTCACTGCCCTCTAAATGCAAAAACCAGGACCCAGAGAAAAAGCTCTATAATGAATCCACTGAATGTTAGGAAAATTGTTGGATAAATTCTTCCCCCGTACTTAATGTTTCAACCTTTACTGATCTAGGAAGAGAAGCCTATTTCCTTAACTCTCTCTCCCCCTCTCTCCTTCTCTCTCTCTCTCTCTCTCTTTCTCCTTTATCCCAACAGCCAGCTTGAACTTTCAGGTACAGCCCCAGAGGCAGCCAGTAAAGGAATGAAACAAGGTGGTTTGCCTTGTCATATTCTGAAAGTTCCTAAAGCAATATGTATTCCTAAAGGAATATCTTATTCCTAAAGGAATACGACAAGAAAAGAAAATAGGATGTCTAAGTTATAGGAGATATCCGTTATTTGCAGGTGGCGTTGTGATTGTCCCAGTGGAAAACAGGATGAACAAGGGAGCTGAGTAGGTTCCCACATACAAGATATGTGACCTTCATCTGTGTGGCACAAACTAGCTAGGAAACAGGATAGCTGAAGAGGAAAAGAGATCAGGGACTATAGACAAATAAGGGACCTTAGAGAAACACACCCTGTGGACCTTATCTCTCCTCTGCATTGGGCCAGGAGCCATCCAAGATGTTTTCACGGTGGGCAGCTGTCCCATGGTCTGATCTCCCAGGCTGGCCGGCTCTGTGGTCAAAGCCTTTGAAGACTTGGTGCCGGGGTCAGTGATGGGAAGAGAGGGTGGAAGAAGCCTCAAGTTTGACCCCCAAACAGCCTGGTGCTCAGGTTATTCTGAAGCCACTACGGCCCCCTCCCAGCCACCTGGGAGTCCAGCTTCTCGGGCCCCCGCCTTGGAGGCTCTGGGGCCATTGACCCCTGGAAATAGCTGGTGCTCTTGGGAGTGGCTGAGGTCAAGGCCTCGAAGCCTTAGTTTAACTAAATACATTTTCTTGTTGCATGAGCCCGACTCTTTGCCTTGGGCAGCCCCTTGTGCGTAAGGGGCTTCTCTCTGCCTCTGCCCTTAGCTGACCCCTTGACCTCCCCAAGGGACAGAGTCCCTCCCGCGTGTCGCCACACGAGTCCTCTCTCTGCTTTGTTTTCAGCGCCCAGCAGAGGAGCACACAGCTGAACAAGAAGAGAGCCATCCCCAACCAGGTAGCCCGCCCCCCTCAGCCCATAGCTCTACCCTTGGGGCCGATGGGCACTTAGGGACCACTGAGCCCAGTGATGGTGCCTGGCTCGTGGCATGTCCTACCAGACCCTTTACCCCCACTCCCCAGCCTCTTGAGTCTGTTCAGGTTTTGATGTTTCAGGAAACCCATCTTTGAGCTGAAGCTCTGGCACAGGCTGGGGGGCAAATTTGTACACCCACAAGGCCCTGTCTGACATCCAAGGCCACACTTAGAACTTGACCCTTGAGAGGGGGGCAGCCCAGTCACCCATGGGTGTCTGCAGACAAATTGGGTTCCTGGTCCTAGCCCCAGAGACTCAGAATCTGTGGGAGGGCCTGGGTGGGAGGCTGCATTGTGATAAGCAGTTTGGGGAGCCTGCGGGTGCTTTGAGCCCCATACCCGGAGAAGCCCAGAGCCATGGGAAGGGTTTTCTACCTCGATGTCATGCCCCAGCCAGAGGCCTTGGGCATGAACAATATGAACAGAGTCATATATGCCCGTATCAGGTGCCTCTTTTTTTCTTTAAGAAAACACATCATATTTGCAAAAATTTCTGTCAGTGCCCACCCCGCTTCTCCACATTAGATGGGGTGGGGGTGGGGGCAGGGGTGGGGCTCTGCTATCCTGCACGATTGTAGAGCCCTGTGGAAAAGAAGGATGTAACCACTGCATGATTTTTTTGTGCTTGCCGTAGGTAATACATATGTTGTTGCTTTTTTGTTTCGGGAGATGATAATGAATTAAATATTAACACCATGAATATAATTAATAGCATGTAATTTTTTTTCTTTTGCTGTTTTTTTCCCCTGCTCTTCTCTCCTCCCATTTTTTGTGCTTTTCCTGCTTTTTCTCTGTCCCCTCATGTCCCTTACGTTTCTTTTCCTCTGCCTGCTCTTCTTTGATTTACCCACAATCCTAACTTTGCATTTTCAAAGGGGGAGATCTTGGTAAGTACCCACTTAGCGTGGTAGCAGACATTAGAGAACCTAAGAGTGGTGGAGACCCCGCCACCCTGTAATGTCCCTAGAATAACGAAACAACTAAAAATCAAGCTAACCTAAAAACCGCCTGCCATGGCCAACGCCCGCCGGACTTCGTGTTTCCCTGGGCATAAGCCAACTCACACAGACACTAACCTGACCACCATCCTTGTAGGAGGCCCACCCTCCAGCCCATTCCTGACACATTTAGCTAGTTTCCTATAGGTCAGGGATGGCAAATATTCAGCTAACACCTCCCAAGCTTCCCTCCCCTCACCTCCCTGGCCAGGGAAGATTTTGCTTAAGTCCTACTGGAACTCGTTCTTGCCGCTGCCACCACTCCAGTGCAGACATCACCATGCCGAAATTTCCTCCTCCTGCACTCACGGCAGACATTACTAATGGATCCAGCACTCTTTCCTTTGTGCCTCTCCCTGGCTCTGCTGGAGGTAGGCACAGCTAATCAATCCTGGCATTCTTTCCTGAGCATGCCACCACTCCCCATTCTGTGGCAGATGTGACTAACTGGTCAAAGAATGTTTTTTCCACGTTGTAGCTTTGCACGTGACACCCCTCCAACACCCATGAGAGACATGACTGATTGATCAGGGAACTCTCTCCTGGATGCTGCCACTATCATTCTGTCCCCGTGGCAGATACGATGATTGATCAGATCTGTTCCACTTGCTCCCTTCTCTTGTATCTGGCCTGCGGCAGACATCACTAATCGATCCTAGCCCCCTTTCCGGCTGCGTCCGGAATTCTCACTAAGGTGGCAGCTGCCACGCATTGATCAGTGGGGCTGCCCGCGATGAATGGTATTTGCCATCCCTGTTATAGGGAACACCTCCTCTCCGAGTGTGGCCCAGCCCAGTGGGGAGCAGGTGCTGCTCCCATCTGAGAGGTGAGCTGTTTTCAAGGTGCTCACCTCCAGGCAGCGGGCTTCAGCCCCAGCTCTCCACCTCAGAGAGCAGGGCCTAGGCCTCCTTTCTCCGGGATGTTCTCCCACCTCCGGCCCCTGAGGCACTGGGCGGCCCAGCTGCTGCCCTCTGGCAGGGATCTTCTGGTGAGCCGTGGGGGTCTTTGCAGTAGCTGAGCCGATCCTGTGCCAGGGCTGCGCTGCATCCGGGGTGTGGAAGGTGCACAGAGAGCCAACGCTGGGCATGGTCGGGTGGGGGTAGTGGCAGGAAGAATGGCTGGTCCTTAGGCCTGTGGCTCCCACTTTTCCCCATGTCACCCCCAGTGCTCTTTGAACCGTTTCCTCCCTCCACACGTGGCCCAGGGGCCTGCTTCTCGCACCCCAAGAAGTTTAGTCATTCTTTCCTGCCAGATTCCACGTCCCCAACCACAAAGCCCAGCCCTGCCACATCCGTCAAGGCTGTGGGCCCCCTGGGTCTCCCAGCCATGGTTTCCATTCCTGCCCTGGGCGACTCAGGCTGAGACCCTCACCCAGGAGGAGGCTGACCCACCCTGCCGGCGGGCCCCAGCTTGCTGCTTCCTGCCAGCCGCCCGCCCGTGCTGCTCCCGGCGGCCCTTCCTCCCATCCCGGGCGTGCCTGCATGCCTGTCGCTGTGCACCCTGGAGCGTGGGAGCCTGCATGACTCTTCTGTCCCCTGCCCCCCTCCTTCTAAGCCAGGCCCCTGGGGCACAAGTCTGGCTTTTGGATGAGGAGGCCCAACTCCCTCTCCTCTAGACTCCACGCGCGCGTGTGTCTGCAGCCCACGGCTTACAACTCCCCAGGGTGGGATTTCGTTTCTGACCCCACTTGGCTCCCACACAGACAGCTCTCTGGGCAGCTCGAGGGGAAGGGGACCTTGGAGGCTTCTCCAAGTCTACCCAGCAGCCTCCTGCCTCGAGGCTCAGCCGTGCCATTCCCGGCCCGGCCCGGCAGTGCCTCCACCCCGAGGCCACACTGCCCATAGCGTGGCCAGGGCCCTGTCGGCCAGCTCTGCCCGCTGCTCACTGAGGGTGGCGGCAGGTGAGCCAGGCCCCTGAGGAGCAGGTGGGGCACGTCTGCCCCCTCGGGAGCTAGGCTGGGCCCCAGAGTAGAGAGGCCTCACCCTGCGAAGATTTCTCTTCTGGGGAGCGTTCACCACCTGTGTTCACCTCCTGCTCCCCTTCCCCTGGTTGTCAGTGACTGAAGTTTATAGAAGTATCTAATCTGCCTGGCCTGGGCTAAGGCTAAGCAGGCCCTGCCCTGCCCCCTGGGATGGGGAAGGAAGGAGCCAGTGTGAACACACAGACCCGCACCGCCCTGGGGCCAGGGACTCCTTCCCGGGTCATGTGCAGAATGGCCTCGGGCCTGAGTCTGAAGACCAGCCTTGCCCCCAGCGTGACCAGACATTCCCCTTTGCCTGGGCCTGGGGGTATTCCCAGGACTCCAGATGTTCAGTCCTAAACCAGGGTGCCTCGCAAGGATGAGTGTACTGGGGCCGGAAGCCTCTGCCCCCTAGCCCGCCAGGTAGCCCATGGTTGGGCAGGTGCTTCCTGGTGGCCACAGGTCTCCCCGGTGCTCTCATCATCACTAGGAATCCTGGAGAAGGGCTGCCAGGTGGGATCCTGTGCTGTCCCCAGCCTGGGCAAGGGCTTCCGGGTAGTGCAGGGGTCCCTGGGTGCACTCAGGCCACCTCCACCTTCATGGCCTCTGAGGCTCAGAGCCTGATTCCAGCCATAGGAGGCAGGGGGCCCTGTGAAGATTTGACAGGCTTGGGGGCAGGTCAGAGAGCAGGGGATGAAGACCCTCTTGAGACCCACCCATTAGGAAGACATGTAGCCCCCAGAGTCATCCCTGGAGCCCCATCTCCGGTGCTTTTGCCACGCCCCACCCTGGGGGGGGAGTCCACACCAGTCCTTCCCAGCTGTCCTTGGCCGCACGTCTGTAGCTTGGCCCGGTCCGTTGCTGCCTGGGCCCCAGATGGCCCTGCCTGTGTCTCCATGTGCTTCCCGCTGCCCTGGGGTCCCCAGTCCAGACTGATGGGTAGCTCCGGCCCACACATACCTCATGACCCAGGGAACATAGGACCATGGCCCCCCAGGCTGCCTACAAAATAGCTGTCAGGTGAGTCCTCTGCGTAGGCCTGGGTTCTGCCTCCTACTCAGATGACTGCTGCGGCCAGATGAGCCCCATCTGGGGATCTTCCAGCCAGAACCTTAACGTGTCAGAGAAAAGTAGGCCTGCCCCCGGATTTGAAGCCAGCGTGGGGCATGATCCCCCTGCAGGTTCCCCAGGCTCAGACCTTTGGCTCCAGCCCTCTGGGTGGAAGCATCCCTTCCTCCTAATTTCTGGAAAGAGGCTGTGGGGAAGGGAGCCCCAGGACAGAGACTGGCCACGATCCCTGTTCAGCGCAGGTCCCTTTGCCCACCGACTGTCCTCCTGAGTGAGTTGGGCAGATGAGCCAACAGAATGGGCAGCAGAGTTGCCGCTTTGTGTTGAGCCTCTGCTGGTCAGCCACGAAAGGAGAGAAAGAACCCCTCCATTGTGTAGCAGGTTCCTCCAGCCTTCCCTCAACAGCCGCCTTCCAGAGGGTGCAAGGGGCGGGGTCTGAGGGCGGCATGGTACCTGCGTCTTGCAGGTGTGATTCCTCCAATGGTCACGTCCCATGTGACACACGTATGGGCCCGGGACCTTCCCTGGGCCCCTTCTAGCCGGGCATACCCGTTCTTGCCTGCGTGAACAGAACCTAACCCCGTGTGTGCAGGGGGTCTCCTGGGGGTCCGCTCCCTGCCAGCTCTGGGCCTGCGAGTGAGCGTGCGTGCCCTGTGTCTGTCTGCCTGGGCGTCCCATGTTGGTTGCCAGTGGGAAATGCTTAGGGGCAAGGTGGAGTTGGGTCGCCTGGCTTCGGGCTGGAGGTGTCCCTGCCATGGTCCCTCTTCCTTACTGGGGACAGGGGCCCTGGCCACTGCACAGGGGTGGGCCGGGCGGGGCGGCAGGCGTTGTCCTCTGAGCGACACCCTCCCCCCCAGGTGATCCGCAGGGGCTGGCTGACCATCAACAACATCAGCCTGATGAAGGGCGGCTCCAAGGAGTACTGGTTTGTGCTGACCGCGGAGTCTCTATCCTGGTACAAAGATGAGGAGGTGAGTGGCTGGGGGGCAGGGCAGTGGGGCTGGGATGGGTGGGTGCTCACTCATTCACTCTGGTTCATTCAAGAAAGGCTCCCTGAGCATCGCCAGTATCCCAGAGCTCCGGCAGAGAATGGTAATGGCCAGGCTGGCCCCCTAGGGGTCCAGCCGGGTGGCAGCTCCACTCCTCCAGGCTGGAAGGGAGATGGGGGAGGGGAGCCCTCAGTGGGCTAGAAACTGACCCCAGCCCCCAAAGTCACAGTGAGGCATCCCTGGCTCTCAGAGTGGGCAGGGCCCGAGGTCAGGGACTCAGGCTCACAGCCAGGCTGCTGAGGTGCTGGGCTTCCAGCGTCTGCAGCCTGCACAGGCTCAGCCGGGCCCTTAGCCTCCTTAGGCCTCTGTCTCCTCATCTACGAAGTAGAGCGGAATGGGCCCCGGGACGGGCCTAGCCATAGTGTCTTTCGAGCGGTCCGCGTGTGCTTGTCCTTATCCAAAGGACGTGAGGAGGCCTCTGGGAGCACTGACCCGGGGGAGTAGCCTGCAGGCCGCCTCATACCGCAGTCTCCATGACCCTGTGGACAAGGGCTGCGAGTCCAGTGGGCAGCCTCGGGCAGCGCCGCTGTCGGGGTCCCTTCGCCTCCACACGGGCCCATCCTCCCGTCCCGAGTGGCCCATCGCTTTGCTTCGTTCTCTTAACAACATGGCCGCGGCTCAGTGGCCCCGGGAACGATGCCGCCCCAGGGTGACTGCCTGTTGCTCTGTTGTGGGCTGGGCTGGCTTCTGAGGGTCACCAGCGAGGGGCACTGTGTTCCTCTCATTTTCCTGGGCCTACAGGCTCTCCCCGTTGGCCGGGGCAGTGTTAGGTATCTGACAGAGGCCCAAAGCGAAGGCATTGACAAGTCTGTCTGAGGGCGGGTGGGGATGACGCTTTTGCATTTTCACCCTCCTTCCGCCCCTGTTGTCTGAAACCTAGTCTGCTCTGGTGCATCAGCTGCCAGGCACGCCGAGGACTGGTCTCCACCTTGGGCCCAGGCATCTCCGCCCAGGGTGGGAGTGCCAGCCTTGGCCACAGCCTTGGGCAGCTGTAGAGGGACTTCTGGGCCCAAACCCCGTCCCGGCAGTTCCCCGCCAGTCCAGTTTTCAGAGCTCCTTCTTTCCGCGTAGGAGGGGCTCCTTCATTTTCCCGTCGTGTGGGGGTTGAGAGCAGGAGCCCCAGACCCTCCTGTGGGCCAGACCAGAGGCACGGAAGCGCCGAGCGGGAGGAGGGGGGAGCGCCCGCCGGCAGTAACGAGAACCAGCAGGCCTGTGAAAGGGGCCCTGTGTGCGCCCCAGACACAAAGCAGGCTCAGATCGGGAGGGACCCTCAGAGTTACACACGTGGCCGAGACCCCCCGATGACCAGGCCACCTTCTCAGAGACCCCTCAGAGAGGCAGAACGTATTTCTTTATTTTGAAAAACCACCGAGAGGAAGCAGTTCCAGTGTGGGGTAGGAATAGGGGACCGATTCAGCCAAGAGCCCCCCGACCCCTCAGCGGGCGGCAGGCTCCCTCTGCCTCGCCCTGGCACCTCTCCTCCCACCCAGGCCCTTTTGTGACTCCCCAGTCTTTTGTCCAGGTCTCCACCCCAGTGGGAAGCAGGGCGGTGGGCGCCGACACTCACCTCCGGGTCTGCCTCGCTGTGGAGGTGGCAGCAAGTTTGGGGGGTGCGGGTCCTGACGCGCCGCTTGCCCGAGCCCAGCCTAACCAATGTGCAGACTACTGTACACATTCAGAGCCCCCTGAACAGGTAGTCTGAACACTGGGTTGGCGGGGCCGGCTGTCCATCCTGCAGGCCCCCCGGGGGGGGAGGGGGCAAGTAGGGCCACCGCGCCCCGGCCCCTCGGAGCAGGCGAGGAGGCCACTGCCTGCGCCGATCCACTTCGTCTCTTCTGACGTGGCACGGCTGGGGCCGGCTCGCATCTGGAGAAAGTTGTGGGTTTGCAGGAAATCCTAAGGAGGGGGTTGGGGAGCGGGTGGGCGTGGGCGGGAGGGAGGGCTTGGGTCCGCGGCCTGTGTGTGCAGGCGAAGGTCTCTTTGGGGGTCGGGTGGGGGCGGGGTGCGCGCACGGCTCTGCGGCTCTGTGTGCGTGTCAGCAGCCCAGGAAGGCAGTCGCTGCGCTCTGGGCGGAATCACACTATAAACAGTTCCAGATGTGGCGTCTCACTCAGGGCCCACAAGGACTGTGACTCAGTTACTTGGCCTGGCTGGCCGACTGGAAGCTTCCTGCCTCCTGACACAGCAGGGTGGGGGCAGCAGAGGCCCTTCCACCATCTTCCGGGCGGGGAACCCCTGCCCGGGCCCCTTCTAAAGCCCCCAAGACTTTTCTCGCGGAGGTTGGTGGGGCCCTGGGCCTTGCCTGGAGCCTTTCTTTGCCACCCTCTGTCCTTGGACTCCCAGAATGCAGCCTGAACGAGGCTTTCCCGGCTCCATGGCCCCCGGGCCCCTCTTCTGCTCCTCACTGCAGCTCGGCCGGAAGGAGCACTCTGCCCTGCTTCCTTCTCTGCCAGAGCCCAGGGAATGGACTCTGGAGCCATAGACATGAGAGACACACAAAAGAAAACCCTAGTAGTGCCTCATACGCTCACCTTAATCCTCACCTCGCACAGGGAGGGCAGGACCCCTGTCCACGTTTGACAGATGAGGAAACTGAGGCAGAGAGGGGCAGTGGCTTGCCCAAGAGCATATGGCCAGGGAGGGGCAGAACCCATCTGAGCTCCTAAGGCTGCAGGGCCAAGCCCATGCACCCAAGCCTGCTGCTCACTCCTGCCTCTCTTCCTGTCGTCCTGAAACTTGGAGCCAGCCCCCACCTGCTAGGGATCCCCTGGCCCCCTTCCCCTCAATCTCTGTGGCTGTTCCGGAATTTGGAGGCAGCAGCACGTTGGGCTCTGTTCTGGGGCCTTCTGGTACACAGGGACAAAACAGGTGAAAAGTGAATTCCTGGGTGAGGCCCGGGCATAAAGGGTGATGGGCAGAACCTGGCTTTGGGGCACATGGGCTTCTGAAGTCCCACTGTGGCCCACTCCCCCTGCCGTGTGGCAGCCACCTTCCCTCTCTGAGCGCAGCGCTTCCCTGGAAGAGATGGGGGAAGGTCACTGGAGTGACTGTGGGTCACGTGGGCCTGGGAGCCAGGGGATCCTGACGCACCCTGATGCTGTTTTCTGGTTTCCTGATGTAGAAAACTCATTAATGCGCCCCACACACACGCTGTCCCCATGGGGAGGTCTAAGATGATGCACCTGCAGGGGCCCAGCCCCACGCTGGGGGTACAGTGGGTGCTTAGCCACTGTCGGTGAGTAAACGTTGGCTTCCGTGACCCACATCCTCCCTGAGCTGCTTCCCCGGCAGTCATCAGGACTGAGGCCGGGCACTCAGTGGGCGCTTCCTGAACAGGACTGCCCTTAGGAAGTGAGTGACACTTCTGTGGCCTTGGAGCTCAGGCATCACTTCGAGGGGCCTCACTTTTCAGCTCCAGGAACTTCTGAAGCTGATGAATTTTAAATCCCAGCCCCACCCCTGAATCGTTGCCTGCCCCACTTGGCCTCAGTCTCCCTCTCTGTAAAATGGGATCACAGTGGTAACTCAGTTACAGGCTCATCATGAAGATGTAGTAGTTAATGGTTTCATTCACGCAACCTGGTGGAGAAGGGGTTGGATTCTGGGTAGAATGAGAGCTGGCCAATGTCGAGTATCCACAGTGTGTCGGCAGTGAACAAAAGAAACAGAAGTCCCTGACCTTGAGTAACTGACAGATCAGGCCGGGTGGACAGACGGTAGCCTAAGTCCATGAGCAAGATGATGTGGTGTGTCCAGTTACATGAGGGAAAGTACCAAGAGGAGGAGGAGGGTGGGGGGGGTGGCGAGAGAGAGAGAGCAAGCAAGCAGGGTGGGGACAGGTCAGGCTCTCCAGGAGAGTCCCCTCTGCCCAGAAACCTGAAGGACGCACGAGAGAGCCATGTGGGCATTGGGAGGAGGAGCATTCCAGCAAAGGCCCTGGGGTGGCATCCAGCCCAGGGCATCCTCAGATCCTGTTAAACAGTCTATGGTGACCCCTCCCCTTCCACCCTCAGGAGAAGGAGAAGAAGTACATGCTGCCTCTGGACAACCTTAAAATCCGCGATGTGGAGAAAGGCTTCATGTCCAACAAGCATGTCTTCGCCATCTTCAACACGGAGCAGAGGTGAGGGCCCACGGGGCCAAGGTTACTGGCCTCGTTTGGTCATTCAGCAGCATCCACTGAGCACTTTCTGCATAAAGTCCCTGCCCCGGGGTCTCATGTTCTAGAAAGGGAATTAAGTAAGAGGCAGAAAACTGCCATGGGTGCTTCCAGCATGTGGACAGGGAGGAGGATCTCTGGGCAGAGACATGATGAAGTGAGGTGGGAGCCATAGAGGGTTCTGAGCAGAGGAGGGACTGGCCCTGGCTCGGGTGTTCACGGGCGTCCCCCAGTGGCTGTGGGGGGGCACAGTGGGGGTCAGGGCTGGAGCTGGGAGACCAGGGCTGATTGGGTGGCACTGGTCCAGGTGGGAGATAGTGGGGGCCAGGCCCAGGTAGGGCTGAGGACTTAGAGGAGGTGGCCTATTCTGAGAGTCAGAGCTGACCAAACTCCTGGTGGATATGGATGCAAGAGAGGAAGGCACTTCCTGGGGACCCTCAGCACCTGCAGGAACTGAGCTGCCCTCACTGAGATGGGAAAGGCAAAGGCAGAGTAGGCTTGGGGACGGTCAGGGGCTGGGTTTGGGCCACACCGAGGGAGAGAGGCCTGTGAGACACCACGTGGGGAAGTTGGGGAGGCAGCTGTGTAGGTACAAGAGTCTGGTGTTCTGGAACGAGCTCCAGGCAGGGTGTGAACTGGGGTGTTGTTATTGCAAGGCAGTGTTCAAAGTCATAGATGGGGTGAGACCCCTGGGTGAGTGTAGACAGAGACGGGCCCAGGAGGCCCCTGGTGAATCCACCCCCACGGGCTTTGGGGGAAGACGTTAGCAAAAACAAAGATGCTTTTCTCAGCTTGGGAAGAGGCCCAGCTCTGGCAGGAGGTCCGAGAGCAGGAGGAAGGGCTGAGTGTGGACACATCCTCCCTGCTCCCCCAGGACCACCTTCCCTGCTGTCCATCGCTCCCACGCTCCCGTCGGTTCGAAGCAAGCCTCATGTCACGTTTTATGTAAGAATAGCTCAATCCAGCTTTGTTCTGGGCTGGCCGAAAGCTCTGGGGCCCACTTTGGCCATCATCTGGCTCCAAAAACTTTTGTATCTCTTCGGCTCCTCCGTCTGTAACCCCATCTCCCCTACCTAAGAAGCCCGAGGGCACGTGGGAGAACCTGGGCTTTGTCCTGGGACAGGCCTGCTGGGAGGCTCTTCCTTGCTGCGTGCAGGGCAGCTGCCCCGCCTCCCCAGCCCCTGATCCCCTGTGCAAGGGGGTGAAGGTCGTACCTAGCATAGCATTTAGGAGTGAGCTCAGGAAAGCCAGAATAATAGTCATGGAAACAAGATAGAAGTTTGGGTTTTCTACGGCTTTACCCTCCAGGGCAGGTGGGGCAGCTCCACAGGCTTCCAGGCCCAGGTGCTCCTACTCCTGAGACCTCCTCCTCCTTTTTCTTTTTTAATTTAAATTTATTTATTAGAGAGAGAGAGAGAGAGCGCGCAAGAGGGGGTAGGGTTAGAGGGAGAAGCAGACCCCCCAGCTGAGCAGGGAGCCCAATGTGGGACTCGATCCCGGGACTCCGGGATCATGACCTGAGCCGAAGGCAGTCGCCCATCCAACTGAGCCACCCAGGCGCCCTCCTCCTCCTTTTTCAAGATGGCTGCCCAAGGTCCAGCCATGATGATGTTCCAGGCAGTCCTAGGGAGGAGGAGAAGGAGCAACGAAGGCGTGCCCCTCACTCCCTAAGACTCCTTCCAGAAGTCTGAGGGCAGCCACTCATGGACTGCTCGCCGGCCGTAGCTCTGTCACGAGGCCATGACTAACCTCACACTCCAATCTCACACAGAAGCTTTGGGACAGCTTGGCCGTCTTGGCCACACCTGCCCTGTGGGACAGGATGGCGTGTGTGTGGCACAGATCCTGGCCTACAGAACATCGGCCATAAATGCCAGCCATAAATAGTGTCCATCTGCTTTTCCTCCAGCCTGTGGCTCTGAGCCTTCCTTCTGCTCGCAGACCCACATTCGCCCAGCATCTCACATGCCTTCGCTGGGAGTCTCAGTCCCGTCCTTGGACAGCTCCACAGCCCTCCGTCTGCCCCAGCCCAGCGCCCAGGAGTCAGGGCACATTCTAGACCTACACTGTCCAGTGCAGTAGCCATTGGCCTCATTTAGCGATTTAAATGTAAATTGGCTGAAATAAAATGCAACCCAAATTAACTTCCTTCGTCACCCTAGCACTATTCATGGTGCTCACAAAGAATCCACCTGTGGCTTCTTGCTACCATGGCTGACAACAGCAGTTGAGAACGATCCTGCCGTCACAGAATGTTCTTTTGGACAACTTTGCTGTCACCTCCCTGAAAACACCTTGCTGGGAGCTGCCCAACCAGGGGTGTTGAGGGACACCTGCCCACTTCTGAGAGTATCTTTTACAGCCTTTGGCCCCCACAGGAGAGCATGAAAGGGGAGCAGTTTCCAGGGAAAAGAGAGGCATCGACTAAAGCCCAAAAACAAAACCCCTCGATGCTGCTAGATGCAGATGAGCACACGCTCTGCCCTCGGTACGGTTCTGGATGCTGTAGGCACTGACTTTGCTCCGTCAGCCCAACAGGATGCCCAGGGCTCGGGTTGTGCCTGGGTCAGGTGTGAGTCCCCGTCCGTCAGAGCCCAGAGCCCACGCTCCAGCTCCTGCACCCGCCAGGCCCGTGGGCAGGGTCAAGAACGTGCCTGTTCTCTTGCTGCAGGAACGTCTACAAGGACCTTCGGCAGATTGAGTTGGCCTGTGACTCCCAGGAGGACGTGGACAGCTGGAAGGCCTCGTTCCTCCGAGCCGGGGTCTACCCCGAGAAGGACCAGGTGAGGAACTGCGCTGCCCGGCTGACACACCTTGGGCTGAGCTGACCCCTCCTGGGAGAGGAGGGGGTCCAGTGTTTTGCTGGATAGGTCATTTCCAGGCACGTAGCCTGTACTCTCTTGAGCAAACAAAGGAGAAAGGGGGAGAGGGTTCTGCCATCAGGGCCCAGGAGATTCTCCAACTAAAGCCAAGGCCGGGGAGATGCATGGCCTGGGATCCCATCTGTTTTGTTCACTTTCCTCCTCCTGTCCTTGAGGTGGAGTGAACATGGCTGCCCTCGGCCCCAAAATTAACATGTTCCGGTCCCCGGTGAGAAAGTCTAATCACCGTAGGCCATGGTCACCCTAGGTCCAGGCAGCACAGGCCATAGGCAGGCAGGGCCCCACAGTGCCGACCTGGCCATCGGGGACATCCCCAGAAAGCTGGTGGTGGGCGGGACAGGGCAAGCACTTCCCAGAGAATGGGGGCTCCCCACTCTCGCCCCAGGTCACGGTCACCCCTCACCATCTGCTCTCTCCCCCTACAGGCAGAAAATGAGGATGGAGTCCAGGAGAACACTTTCTCCATGGACCCGCAACTCGAGCGGCAGGTGGAGACCATCCGCAACCTGGTGGACTCCTATGTGGCCATCATCAACAAGTCCATCCGCGACCTCATGCCAAAGACCATCATGCACCTCATGATCAACAATGTGAGTGCCTGGCCCCCGCCAGGGCCTGCCCGTCACAGGGGAGGGGGCGGGAGCCGCCACAGCCAGATTTGGCCTGAACACTGTTGGTTTTTGTTTTTCAAGATTTTATTTATTTATTTGAGAGAGAGGGAGGGAGAGCCATGAGCAAGGGGAGGGGCAGAAGGAGAAGCAGACTCCCCGCTGAGCAAGGAACCTGATGCGGGACCTGATCTCAGGACCCCAGGACCATGACCTGAGCTGAAGGCAGACACCCAACCGACTGAGCCACCCAGGCGCCCCAACATTGTTTGTACAAAATGTAAAATTAGAGTGAGTCACTACCTTTTTAACATCAGAATCAGGATTCTCAGCCTCTCTTGGCAAATTGGAAGGTGCAGGCCACATGGGGCTCACTCCCATTTACATAGGTACTTGAAGCTAACACCACACGTCTACACTTCCTCTGACTTTTTTTGGCCCTATGATAACCCTAGGAGAGGGACTATCATGTCCATTTTATAGACAGGACAACAAGGCCCGGCAAGGTCAAGAAACCTGCCCTGAGTCACTCAGAAGAGTGGGAGGTGGATTAAAACCCAGACTGAGAATGTCCGGAACTGTGGCCTCCTGATGGCCTGCAGCCCAGCCCACCTTCACTCGGGGGCATTACATGCCTCCCCCAGGGCTCCCGAAATGCTCAGGGCTTTAGGCTCCTCTTTGGTGGAATGCAGCTGCACTAAGGTCTCCCACTCTAGGTTGCTGGGAGGGTGCGGGGGGCTCCTATCTCGGGCCTTCAGCTCAGCTAGGCACTCAGGAATCTATGTAGACCAGGTTTGGCTTATGTCGTGCCTATAAAAGCTCTCAGTGTAACAGGGTCTAAAGCAAAAATCCCAAATCCCTCTTCCTTACTATATTCTTCACTATCTCCTTCGGGGTGAGCGGTGCTAAGTTTCATGGGTGTGCTGGTATATCCCTCACATATAAATGGGATTTATGATATACTTGCTTCTGCCGCTATGAAATTTAAAATGCATATGTGGTTTGGCTCCAAAGTTCTATTTGCAGGAATTTTTCCCACAGAGACCTTTGCCCATATTCAAATTGAGCACATACATGCTTATTATTTTAGCATTGTTGTGTAGTGGCCAAAGATTGGAAATCTCTGTCCCCTTAATAGAATCCGTTTAGTACATAGCTATTCTATCAAAAAGAAGAGGAGGAGGATTTCCAGGTTGATAATAACGCTCAATCATGAAGTGGAAAACTATGGAGCATAACAGAATGTACAGGAGGGCTCCATTTGGGGAGGGAAATGAACTCTCAAGCCTGGTCATTTTTGCAGATGCTGAAAGTTCATCTGGGAAAAGTCAACATCTATTCTTAAAAAAGACAATGGTAGAAGGAGTCTTTTGTTATGAGTCTGTGTGTTTCAGTCTGAAAACCACTCTTGCCCTGAAGGGGAAAGCTCGGAAAGCATCCCCTCTAAAATCCAGAACAAGTTTGGCCCTCTCCACTTGTGTTTAAAACCTTCTTGAGGGGCGCCTGGATGGCTCAGTTGAGCGTCCGGCTCTTGATTTCGGCTCAGGGCATGATCTAGGGTCCTGGGATCGAGTCCCACGTCAGGCTCTGTGCTCAGCAGGGAGTCAGCTTGGGGATCCTCTCTCCCTCTGTTCTTCCCCCTGCTCACGCGCACTCTTCTCTCCCTCTGTAAAATAAATAAATAAAAATCTTCAAACAAACAAGCAAACTTTCTTGTAGAGTTACTAGCTAGTACAGTTCAATCAGAAAAATCATTTAGAGGTGTGAAACACTGAAAAGGAATAGGAAACTTGGTCCTAGTTGGAGAAGCTCCTGGACACACAAACAGGTACCTAGAAACTCCATAAAAGTAACTGAAAAAACTCCTGTATCCTGTAGGAGGTTTTAGGAAGGAACAAATTATAAAATTAACAGAAACTAGGAGTTTTTTAATGAAAGCCAGCTTGAAGACAACAAATGGGAGGAAAGACAGCAGTAAAAGAGGCAGGATTCGAGTTTAATAAGCATCTTGTGGAATGGGCTGGAAGGACACGTGAAGGGGCCCCCGAGAGACTCGGCAGACAGCTCACGTGCGTTTCAAACATCGTACACATCGCACAGTAAAGTTAAAGACCGGACAGCCTGGGGCGCCTGGGTGGCTCAGTTGGTTAAGCAACTGCCTTCAGCTCGGGTCATGATCCCAGGATCCACGGGCTTTCTGCTCGGCGGGAAGCCTGCTTCTCCCTCTGCCACTCCCCCTGCTTGTGTTCCCTCTCTTGCTGTCT